TTGTGCTGTGGTGATGGCTGGTTCGGGGATCTGTTGATTGGTCGGCTTGGGATTCTGATTGCACGGAGATTCGGGCTGGTGATACTTGGTTCTGCCTTGCGCGCATGGGGAACACCTTCGGGTGGATTGCTTGAGGTTTGATTCTGATGTGATGTGAGTGGGGAATTCGAACACCCCTGGTGTGACTGTGATCGAGGGGACTTGGGTTGGTTCATGTTAATGTATGATAGATTTTTTCAGAGTTATTGGGGGCTTTAGGGGATGAAGTTGTTGTTGTTGTTGTTGTTGTTGTGGAAGCTGAATGGTGTGGACTGCTTGTTCTGATATTTTGTATTCGATCCGTGTAACATGGCAATGTTGAGGGATGCGATTAAAAAACTATGATGCACGGGGAGTATCTGTATTGGAATTTGAGAAAACGTTTAGTTTTGAAGGCAATGAAAGTCAGGTAAAATGGTTCGTGGAAATTATAGAAAATAAAGTACTCGGTAGCATTATCTGTGGCGTCTTAGAAAAATGTAGATACCTAATCAGTTTCACGTGTCTTTAAGCGACGCAGGTACGGGTAATCTGATAAGTATTGATCCACGTAATATTCTTTCGCGATGGATAACACAATAGCGAGAAGTTCATATCCGACTAATGAGCACCTGCTCGATGAAACCGATCGGTGTATGAGCCTCATCTTTTTACACGAGGAAATTACCATTTCGTATTTCTCAGTAGCAAATGATATTACTGTGACATCGTTTTTTCAATGGTCAAGGTTTGCACGCATATTGTTCTTGGTCTGAGCAACCTGGCATTCGCGCGTACACGGTGTTTGCAAGTAACAGATTTTGTATCGAAACTAGCGGCAATTCTAAATGTCAATTCCGAATTATTTAATTTAACAGGTGCATACGTGGGTAAAAGGTACAAGAGTTATTGATCCTTTGCAATACGAAGTTACCTTATGAATTCTCATTGTTGAAACGACCACTGAAAAATCACCATTTCAAAGTTACTAAAAAACATTAGAATACCGGGGCTTCGTGTCAAATTAATATTCCTAGAATAAAATCTCTCCTGGTAGCTCCGTTCATCCCACAACATTATCAGCCGAAGCGGTCGAACCCGCCGAGTTCAAAGTTCGAAAACGTGGCTCGTTATCGTGATGTTGCGTCGAGAAGTTCGCCGCGCGTATCTTACACCGTTTCCCCGGCCGTGTTTATGCACATGCATACAGTGAGCATCAAAAGCATCGGCACGGAACATTCCGGCTCGAACTCTTTTAATTCTGCCGAGGTAGGGTTAAACAATGGACCAAGAGAACGTTATGTTTAAACGAAACAGTAATTAAAAGACGCAAGTTTAGATATTAACTACATTTTACCGCTAACAATTTCCCATAACACAAGGCGAACTCCCTCTTTATCGCAATTATACATTCCCTAAACGATGAAACATCGATAATAGCAAAACAATCTTTCATTTCTTACTAAACTGACCCACAAATATTTACCAGATGTCTCTTCGTCGTCGAACAAGAGGTAAATGTCATCGAATTCAATGAAAATTTAAGCTTCAACTAGAAAAATCATATTCTCTCAGAAATATGAATCGTGGTGAAGATTTTCAACGTGATTCGACAAACATTACTCGGTTCATTCGAATTCAAAGTAAACATTATTCCTCAATCAACTATTACACTTAAAAGGAAATATACGCATAACATATGCTTAGAATTGATCTCTTTCCAATGAATTATTAATGACAAAACAGCCGTATCGATCGGAGTTGAGAAAGAAATCATAGGTCAAGGGGTTAAGTTCCAAAAATTGAGAAATTCCCACGAGACTTCCCAGCGAAATCCGTGGCCGAAACTTTTGCCAGAGGCTGTAGGTGTCCGGCGAACGGACACGCGCGCACACCAGCGTAATCCCGTCGAAGAATCGGCAGCCTTTCACCCAACGCCTCCTCCCGTTCATTCCGTTACCATACGGTCACCGGTGCTTATCTCTCACCTTCCTGTGAAACTCCGACCTGAATTTCTTTAAAGGCTGGATTACGCGTGGCCGTTTCTCGAACGATCTTGTTTGCCCCGGCGCGGCGCGGCGCGGAGCGGCGCGCGCGGAGAAGAAAACGGGACGTTGCCATGCGAGAGAGCCCATCGGCCGAACGAGAGAGACTTTTACGCGTGCCCCGGCTACGGAGAAATTTTCCGTTAACCAGAGGCGACATCCTTCTCTCCTCTCCTCGTTTTTTCTTCCCGTTCCCGCGTTCTTTTTTCGTCTGTTTGCCTCATTGGAATCGCCTTTGTCCGGCCCCGGGACACACCTTTCGTTTCGAGCGCGGTGGCGGCCGTCGGCCATTTGCATAATCGAGTTTCGCGCGGGTACAATTTACAAGAGAACCCTTACCCGGATGATATTACCTACGAAATAATATTCCTTCCTAGTTTACGGCCGCCGTTGTGCTCGAAATGGCCGAAAATAAAGGGGAAACGCGAATTCTCGCGTGCCGGATGAACGACGAACGTGTCGCGAACGTGTCTCGCAGAAAACCGACCTCCGATGGGGATCGTTACATAAGAAACGAAACGGACGTTAACGAACGTTCGTTATCGGGGTCCACCGGCGGCAATTCGCGTTTCGAATTCCAGATTTCACCGTTATCGCTGGCGACAACGCGTTTTCGCGAGACACCGACGCGACGCGAGCCGTTCCGTTCCGTTCCGCGCTACCGTGGAAAAACGCGATTTGTGTACGAATCAACGGCCAGTCCACCTTCAGCGTAACGTAACTCGCGCGAATGTCGCGAGATTGAGAAATTGGCCGTTGATACGATAACGACGGCGCGGTGATGTAACAACGGCGGATTTTGGATCGTAACGCGCGGAGAGGTTCGCTTAGGCGAGGACAGTAAGAAAATGATAGAAACGAGAATGGAACGGGTGCATCGAGAAACGTGTAAAATTGAAGGAAACGACAGATTTAGTGGAATGCATGGATCGTTTCATAGAAATATCCAGTGAATTTTTCAATGAATTTCAAAGGATTTCGATCGGTGATACGGTCACCGAAACGGACACGTATCCTTACTAAAAATTATTTGCAATTGCGTTGAGGTACCATTTAAAGAATATAATCTTTATGGCATTGTATCGAGGTATACTAATTATTAGATCACGTTAATGTTTGGTGTATATTTAATAAATGTACCGCCAAGTCTCCTAGATTCCTTTAATTCGACGTTAAACGGACTCTCGCCGCGGCGAACGTGTTCGGTTTCAAGTCGCCAGCGAAATTCTCTCGAATCCATTATTATTATTGAATAGTGTACCACTGGAACTAACATTATCGCTCCGGGGTTGCGTAAAGCAAGATAAAAATCAAAGAAAAACAAAACTTTTTTGCTCTCCCGCGGATTACAGCAATTTAATCTCACGCTCGGAACGAGCGACATTAATCGCGTTAAATACGGTTGAACGGCTCACATTGAGCCACGTCATGCACACCGGGCAGAAAAAGTATTCGTACGCAACTGTCCCTTACCGTCGACGATTTTTCTTTTCCTTTTCCCCGGCGCGACGATTAAGTTCAACGTTACTTTCGTCAGCCGATACACCGTTGAGTAATCCGCCGTAAGCGATACGAATAAAAATATTTTTTCTTTCGCCCGTTGCTCGGCCCAATCAACCAGTAACCGAAGGAAACTCGGTCGGTAAAAGAGTTCGCGCGTGTGCGACTCGCGTTGCGAAAAGGAAGACAAATTGGAGACGTCTGGGATACTAATCTCGTACAAGTTGCACTTAGATTCCAATTAATTCTTCTCTCGTCTTCGTGTCCTTTCGATTGGACCGTTCGACTGATGCAATTCGAAAATGTTCAATTGATAAATTTCAAAATTTCAGATTGATCTTC